AAAATATTTAATTACGCGGGACCGCCTTACCTTTAATTTCCAACTGCATAATTAGTTGAGACACCACGCTGTCCTGAAAAATTGCCAGGATATTTCGATGCGACTATGCCGTCATTTAAAACTTGTTCAGAATTGCAGTGAATGATGAGGTGGGTGAATTAAAATTCTGTGTGATATATTAATACTCTACGTTTCGCGCCGCCGGAGCCCCCCCCCCCCCCCCCCCCCCCCCCCCCCCCCCCCCCCCCCCCCCCCCCCCCCCCCCCCCCCCCCCCCCCCCCCATTCCTGCTCGAAAAACAACGAACATCTCGGCATTTTCTTTGTAAATACAGTCATCAGGGATTGCATTATAATAGGTTGCCTACAGAAAGAAGAGAGAGGATTGGCGGGCGAAGAAAGGGACAAGAGAATCGGACGTGAGCAGCGATGATAGAGAGACAGGGGGTCGTGGAACGAGGGAAAGGGAGAAAGCAGAGATAAGAGATATGCTAATGGACAGAGCAGAGAAGAAGAGAAGAGAGAGAGAGAGAGCGAGTAGAGAGATCGGTACGAGAGAGAGATCAGAGCGAGAGAGAGATACGAAGAGAGAGAGGAGACAGATGCACGAGAGAGACAGAGAGAGCGCTGCTGCCGCATGCGAGAGAGACGCGATGCGACGAGAGCGCGATGAGCGAGAAAGAGAGAGAGAGAAAAAAAAGGTTTTTCCAGGGCCCGCTGAGGCAGCGAGAAAAGAGGAGGGCAGAGAGAGGAGAAGTCAGCCGATTGATGAGCGATGCGTCGGAGTTATAACGCCAAACAAACATCACTGCCTATTCTAAAACTAAAACATAACGCCTTCAGATAACAGGCAATTAAAAGGAGTTTAATACGAACGCATCGTTACCGCCGCCGCTAAGATTCGCCCGGCCATATATCGCCGGCATAGCACACAGCCTCATAAACAATAAACGCTTAGTTTAGGTGTATTACGCAAAGCTTTCACTTTACCCCGCCGGAGACGTCTGACCGCATGTAAGCACACGCAGCCGGCAGCCAGCGACGACGCCTCTATAGAAACGGCTGTCGCCATGACGACTGCCCGCAGCCCGAATAGGCCTTCGCTAAGTATTCCGCTCAATGGCGAACGATTGGTTGACCTGCGCAGCGATGGCAGACGGCGTTATATTATTGAAGCTGGCGAGGCACATTGATGCCGGTGATGGAGGCTGTCCTGCATGGGATATAGCATTCGCCTATAAAAAACTTCCAACTGCCTGTGCTGGTGAAGCCCTGGAAGTGATAAACGAGAGTGGTAAAGGATGGCAGGCTGCGGCGTATGGTCAAGCTAAGAGTGTGGATTCCAGGCGGGCATCGAAGCTGACGGTGGCAGGCTGGAGTGTTAGAAGCGCTGGGGGAGGAGGGGAGGCTGGTAGTGGATGGAGGCTGGGGGGATGCGAGGCTAGGGTGTGGAGGCCAGGGGGGATGGAATGCTGAGAGATGGCAGCGCTGGGGAGTTGTAGATGGTGGAGGGATGGGAGGCTGGGGGGAATGGACGGCTAGGAGGGAAATAGATAGCCTGGGGGGAGGCTGGGTGCGATGGAGGCTGGGGGGATGGACGGCTGGGGGGTATGAGAAGCTATGGGGCGATGGAAGCTGGGGGGTGGGGGTGGAGGCTGGGAGTGTAGAGGCTTGGTGGGGGCTGCCGAGGCTTAGAGGGGCATGGAAGCTGGGGGTGGATGGCCTGGGAGTGTGAAGGCCTGGAGTGTAGAGGCTGGGGGGTGAGACGGCTGGGGGATGAAGAGTTGGGGGGTGAAGGCTGGGAGTGTAGAGCATGGCTGGGGCGTCGTGTGGAGGCTGGGGGGTGGAAGGCATGCGGGGGTGGAGGCTGGGGGTGGGAGGCTGTCGGGCGGGGCATGGAGGCTGGGGGGATGGAAGGCTGGGGGGTGGAGGCTGCGGGGGTGGAGGCTGGGGGGTGGCGAGCGCTGTCCCGGAGGATGGAGAGCTGGGGGGTGGATGGCTGGCGGGGATGGCGGCAGGTCTGGAGGGGATCGCGAAGGCTGGGCGCATGGAAGGCTGGGTGGTGAAAGGCTGGGAGGTGTAGAGGCTGGTCGGTGGATGGTGCGGGGATGGCAGCCTGGGCGGCGTGGAGGCTGGGCGGGGTGAGGCTGGGAGTGTAGAGGCTGGGGGTGGAGGCTGGGCTGGAAGCTGGCGAGGATGAAGCTGGGAAGAATGAGGCTGCATTACCAGGACTATACTCGCTGAACAGATTCTTATCGCCCGATAAGACCAGTGCTCAGCATTCATCGATTCTAAAGACCTTCAAACCCTGGATGCGAGATGGCGAGCGATCGACCAACGACTGGTCACAACGAGTTGATAGAGAGCGCGGGCTGGCGCGGTGAGGGAGTTCATGCAGCCGCGCTCGCGTCAGAATCAGATACGGAAGGCGTTTTTTACGAGCCGGTGGGAACCATAGCAACGCCGACACTATTCAACATACTTAACACTACCCGCTACAGACCATCGGATAAAAAACCTCCATTACATTCGCAGAGAAAACGCGATCACCTTTAGTTCGGAGTCCGGACATAGGTATATAGTCAGGAGTCTATCAATTGATAGACTCCTGATATAGTATGAGTGGGCGTCCTGCCACGCGCCTGCACGTGTGCATGTATACACGCAGTGATCTGCAGCAATGTAGGCGGTGTGCGGGCGAGTGGGTCTGCGCTAATGCACTGCCCCGTTGAAAATCTATCGGTTTTCAGATAAAGATGGACTTAATGTAACTTCCATTCAGATGAAGTTTGTCCACTTTTCTTGCGAGCTCGTGCGCGCACGGAGAATCGCGCTGAATTCCCAGTACAGCCGTATATGAAACCTGTGGATAAGTGCTGATGTCGCAGTCGTTGCTAACGTTCGCCTCGTCGTGGGGGCGGTGAGTGCGCGCCCCGTCCTCCCCACACGCTTATCCGCTACGTTTTTCCACTTTCTGTTTAAGCTTTATTCTCGTAGATAAAAACCTAGGCTTTGATGAGACTCTAAGGCCCGCCTTGCCTCTCACACCGCCTCGCGTTTCTATACGTATCCCTCTACCTCTCCTCCCACACAGACCGCCTCTTTCGTCTTTACGTTTCTCTTTACTCTGTGCTCTCCTTCTAATCTCAAACTTTGCTGGTATTTCTCCCTCCTCCACTGCTATATACACCTGCCAGGATCCCTCCCCACCATACCCTCTCATTCACTCACTTCTAGCTCACTCCGCTAAAGCGAAGCATAAACGAGGTTTTGATGCACACGTGCTAGGAGAGAAAGGAACCACAATGGTCGCCCACCGTCCTCGTTCACTTCTCACCCTCTCAATCGCCGCTTAATGCGCTCCGACAAAAGTCCATAGAAACCGCGGTGAACGGAGCAGTGCATTATAGGCTAATAGGCACATTGTACGCACAAAGGTAATGCTTCAGACCTCATTACGTTTCCAAGAGGTTCTGACACGATTTGATGTCAAGGCAGCCGAATCTGTTCTTTGCATCCCTGCGTGAAAGTATTACTGACCTAAACGAATAAGCCTTTGTTGGAACCGGAGTGAGCGGGCAGTAAATCCCACTGCTGCAGCTCACACACAGCAGAAATATCTTACTGCTCATATATATATATAGCCCGACCTATAGCGGAAAGGATTACGGAACACAAGAGGGATGTTAGGCTGCTTCGAACCGACAACTCAGCAGTG